CCAGGGGGCGCTTGTATCTTGAAAGTTAAGCAACGGAAGCGAAGTAACAATGTACCGCAACGCTCTACGGTCATATTGATTGGGACCTATAGTTTAAATTGGATTCCGAACCACTACACACATCCATGACACCGCCGGGATTCGAACCCGAAACCTGTGGTACCGAGCGCCAGAGCACTAGCCACTCGGCCGTCAGGCTCCCAATTTCAAACATTGCTCGTATGTTTTCTGTTCCCTTAAAGCTTTTTATTTTGTGTTTATATATCTGCATTTTCTATATATTTCCATTATATATGTGTTTATATGTTTGTTATGTATTTACATATTTATTTATATTATTCTATTGTGCAGGTATGCATTTTTATATTGCTTCTATTTGTCACCTCCGGTTAGCTCCCCTCCCCATAACTTTTCTTTCCCTCCTACTAACTGTTTGCTTTAAAATTTTTAATTCCTGCTCATTCTGTGATACTTTGTTTTATTTTATTTGAATTCTGAGCAGATGTGCACAGGTACTCGACTCTCCTATCCAATCTAGTAAATAATACTTTATGGCAATTGGCATACCGATTACGGAGTTCCCATGGGGATAATAGACCCCTTAACCCTCCTCATTTTAATTTATATATATAGTTACAATTAATTAGTGGCTACTTTAGGTTAGTAACGGTGATAAAAAAATGAAGTTTCTAAAAATAAAAATGGTACTCTGAAAATTTAAAAAAAAAAAAAAAAAAAAAAAAAAAAAAAAAACTTTGTAGAAAGCGATTTTTGATGCTGTAGTTAAATTCGGTTATAAAATATTGAAAAACATCAACACTGAAATACATGCAAACATTTTTTTTTACTAAAATGTGGTAAAAAAAGGATACAAAAAAGGGTTTTTTCCCCTTTACTTTACGTCAGCACTCCTCAATGAAAGAATAGGTAAAACATATCACATTCACTTGCCTGCGTTACACTCAAAGAATAAAGTAAATGACAATTCTGAAGTACAGCAGAGTGAAGAAACTTCGGATTAGTTTAGTTTGTCACTCTCATTTTGTGCACCGAGGGATTAATTGGACCGAGACCTACAGTTTAACGTGGATTCTGAACCACTTGCAAACATCCATGCCACCGCCAGGATTCGAGCCTGAAGGCCTGTGTAACCAAAGGCCAGAGCAACGGACCATCAGAGCTGAGCAAAAATACACAAAGAGTCATGTTTTTAATGTAAAGGCCAGTAACTCATATTTGAATATGCTTACAATTTCTCAGTTCACCACATACATAATATCATTCAAAACATAAAGCTAAAATGTCATTCGATTCTGAAAAGGATTCTTGATGTTATGACTGTTATCGTAGACAGTTGTCAGTCTGGCAACTGGCGTACCGATTACAGAGTACCCATGGGGATAGACCCCTTAAACTCCTCATCTTAATTCCTATGTAAAATTTAAGTGGATTTTAATTGGCTGCTTAATGTTAGTTTGTTATAAAAAAGTAAAGTTTCTAAAAATTTAAAAATAATACTTTGAAAAGTTAAAAAATACTTAAAATTTAAGTTAAAAATTCGGCACAGTAAGGGACCCGTTGTCGATGCCATAAAAAATTTGTTTATGATATAAAATTGTGACTGCTGAACGTGTGGGAACTGTAACGATGAATCTGCAAAGTAAATAATTATCCCCCTCCCCTGCAAAAAAAAAAGGACTCAGAACCAAAATTCTGGTATTTCATTTTATTTTTATTTATTTATTTTTCATTTTTTGGTGTTCAGGTTTATTCCTTTTGTTTTTTACAGGAAAAAAAGAAAACCTAACTATGTCACTAGTCGGCAAAAAAGATTTAATTCGCATATCCTAGCTGAATAGCGAATGGAGCTGGGCTTTGATTCGAACCTTCGACCTTGCGATCAGAAATCCGTTTCTTTACCCCGGCGCCAGTTCGTCTTGTTTAATGAGAGGCCTCAAAAATTCCGGTTTGGTTTGGCTCGGTTCGTCACTCTACGGGCATCTTGTACACACGAGGGTTAAACAGACCAGGACCTACAGTTTAAAGTGGATTCCGAACCATTACAGACACCCATGCCACTGTCGGGACTCCCGAGCACCAGAGCGCTAGCCACTCGGCCATCAGGCCCCAAAAAATTCCGGATTCAAGATACTATATGACCTTTCTTCACGATTTATTTGGATACGGAAATTCACGCATTAAAAACTTCATTGAATTTCGGGAAAACTCTTTTTTTTTTTTTTTTTTTTACTACACCGCTATTATGATAGCAGTTATAACTTAATATAATAATTTTCAGAATCGAATGACATTTTAACTCTGTGTTTTGAACGACCGTAGCTTTGATCTGAAAGGATTTCGATTGATTCATTGAGAAGATAAGTTACTGGCACACTTTTATTAAAAACATTACTTGTTTCCTCCCTTGTACTTTTGCTGTCAGTGACTCAATTGGCTGTAATTCATAGCTATTCTTCAGAATATCATTCATTGCATGCATAATAGATGTCTGTGAGTTTTACACATTTTTTTAGTGAGAAGTGTTTACGCAAAGTTAAAAAATGCACTTTTTTTTAGCAATTTTTATTCAGTTTTAACAAATTATCTTTACATATATAATTCTTTTATACATGTATTTGTCACTGAACTCCTCCTAAACGGCTGGACCAACTCTGATGAAATTTTTTGTGTTTGTTTGACAAAACAGTGAGAATGGTTTTATGCTATTCTCTTTGTTGTAAGTCGCCACCAGAGGGTTCTGCAGTCTATGAAGTTCTATACCGGTCAACCCATCGCTATGAAAATAGGCAATAATATGTATTAGAGTATGAAAAAATAGGTCCGCGCTATCCACTCTTTGGTTACTTGCCACTTGTTTGGTGCTGCAGCATTTCATACCGTTCAAACGATATCCGTGAAAATGAGTATGCACCTATATTGGAACATGGTTTGGTTTGCCGCTCTACGGTTATCTTATGCACACTTTAGGCTAAACAGACCGGGACCTACAGTTTAAAGTGGATTCCGAACCACTACAAACATCCATGGCACCGCCGGAACTCGAACCCGAAACCTGTGGTACCGAGCGCTAGCCGCTCGGCCATTCAGGCTCTATTGGAACATGGGGAATATATTTCGCGATATGTAATTTTCTACAGTGCGGTGGGTTTTTTTTTTTTTTTTTTTTTTTTTGACAGGACAACGTATGCCGGGTTTTGCTAGTTCATGCATAGTCATACATATTCATGTTTGCCATTGTTTATAACCTAATTGAATAATAGCATCAACCCTACGTCAATTTCGCTGGCTAAATTTTCAGCATCTGAGATAATTGCCAAAAGAAACGTACGAACTTAACTCTTTAAAAAAAGTTAATGAGCTATTTAATAAATCAATGGCTTGGGATTCATTTGATTTGTATTGTCCCTCTACGGTCATTTTTGCGCACGTTTTAAGTTCATTAGACCGGGACCTAAAGATTGACGGGGATTCCAAACCCCTCACAAATATTCATACCACCGTTGGGATTCGAATTTGAAACCTGTCGTACCAAAGGACAGACAGCTAGCCAATTGGCCATCAGGCTGCCACTTATAATTGATGTAGCTTACTTATCGGATTAACATGATTCTAAATTTTATACCAAATGATGATAGAACATAAATTATAGGATGAAATGTTAGTTCCTGTTGTATTTGACTTTCCTACTCACTTATTTTCTATATAAACGTAAGCGAAATATATTCTTGTGTGTTGTGGGGATTTTCATTATTAATTTCGCTCTAGTTCAGGTGGTGCTGCCATTACTAAATTTTGTCTTTGTAGGACCAGCTCTGATATATACTTTATAATATATATATGTTGTTCTAATGCAGCTGAAAATACAGAGACACATCTTTATGCCATAAGCAAAGGCTGCACCGCTGCTACTCATTTAGCACTACCCAAGGGAAACGTGTAGCTTGAAGATAGGCTACGGAAGCGAGTCGCCCTACCTCCACAACGCTTTATGATCTACGGCTAACCTACGGCTTAAAGTAGATTCCGAACTACTACAAACATCCATGGCACTGCCGGGATTCGAACCCAATATCTGTGGTACCTAGTGCCAAAGCATTAGCCACTGAGTCATTAGGTTCCATAGATAAATAGATAGATTAACATCAGTCTAATACTTACTCGTATATACATACACCCTGTACACACACACCTGTACACCCTGTACCTGTAAATATATATATATATATATATATATATATATATATATATATATATATATATATATATATATATATATATATATATATATATATATATATATATATATATATATATATATATATATATATATATATATAGGGGCCTGAATGGCCGAGTGGCTAGCGCTCTGGCACTCGGTACCATAAGTTTCGGGTTCGAGTCCCGGCGGTGCCATGGATGTTTGTAGTGGTTCGGAATGCACTTTAAACCGTAGGTCCCAGTCCTAATAGGAGCGTTGCGGGGGCATTGTTACTCCGCGTCCGTGGCTTATCTTCAAGTTACACGCGCCCCCTGGGTAATGCAAAGTGAGTAACGTCTGTGCAGCGCTTGCCTTAAGGCATCCAAGACCAAGCTGTCTAAGTGTTTGCCAGCTGCATTAGAACAGAAAAAAATATATATACATATTTATAGAGAGAGAGACATAACTTCAGTCTAACAATTTAATTAGTCCATTCAAGATTTCTGTGTCTCTGAATGTTGATCTTATTTTTCCCGCTTGTGCGGTCGGTCAAGAGTGTCACCGCACATAAAAGGGGGGAGCATGACCACTAACAATCCAGCAATTAGAATGTCGTTTGTCAGACGATTCTGGGTGGTCCAGCGCCTTGGGGGATGCTGTAAAACTCCTTTGGTCCCTGCGTCGCTGAGCATTGAGTAAAAAAGAGCATTGAGTCGCAGAACACTAGGATTGCAATTGAGATCTCCTTTATTTGAAGTGATCATCTTTTATGGTGGTAATAGCGAACATACCGCTATTGAAGAAAAGAAAATATACCGGTTCTCGTTAGATCACCGAAGTTAAGCATCATTGGGCGCGGTCAGTACTTGGGTGGGTGACCACCTGGGAACACTGCGTGCCGTTGGCAAAATTTGGGACCTGAATGGCCGAGTGTCTGGCGCTCGGTGCCACAGGTTTCGGGTTCGAATCCCGGCGGTGCCATGGATGTATGTTTGTAGTGGTTCGGAATCCACTTTAAGCCGTAGGTCCCGGTCTTCTATGACTGTAAGAGCGTCACGGAGCAAAAGTCAGGCTTCTACCTACGGGTGCTCCATCACAACAGAAGCTGCTTCCTTCCCCTTCAATCATGAGTCCATATGGGCTTGTGGGCTTGGCCAGCCAAGTGGGATAAGAAACAACAACAGAAAAGAAAATGGCGCGTAAACTTTGATGGTTATGTAATTGCTGCGACAAGCGTGAGAAATTGTTTCCACATCGCAACTGATGTAGGAAAATTGTCTCCATAGAAATAAAACGAATTTTAATAGCAGAAGGAATGCACTCAACAAATATTTGCTACAAGTAGGAATTGTTTAACTGACATTATTTTAAGCATTCTAATTATCAAAATTAAAAATTATTGATAAATAGTTTAAATATTGAAGTTATTATTTTGGTTGTTTTTATTTCCATTGACTTCAGATTTTTTTATTTCTAGCGTTATTTTAAATCAGAGGTGGCCAATTCGGGCCTTACTTGAACATTTTTCCGGCCCGAGAGATTTATCTCATTTTCGCAAAATGAATTTATTTTATAATGGCCAAAGTAGTAAAAACCAATTTATTAAAAAAATGCATTATGTGTGCATCCCTCTATTCAAAAATGGACTGCCGAAACGATGAGAAAAAAATTTATATTAAAATAATATTCTTCAGAATATAGGACAGATATTGCTTGTTTTATTGATGGGTTTACAGTTGACCCAACACAAAACACGTTCCAACATAAGGGACGCTAACTTACAACAACAATTACGATGTGCAAATACCCAAATGGAGAGCGATTTGCAAAAGCTAAGTGAAAGAGTGGAGAAACGCATATCGCACTAGTCAAATAAATATGTTTTAATGATTTCATTTATTATTTCGTTTATATTTGTATATATTTTTTAATTTCATTTTTAGTATTATATATATTTCTTTATAATGTGTGCTTAGTATCATTATTATTACATTATCTATGTTTACATGTAAGAATAATAGCAAACACAATAATAATAATTCATTCTTTTTCCATTTTTCACTCCAAAAAATGTCTACAGTGGGTCTAAATCTAATGGAGGATAATGTAATTTTATAGGCGTCCCGCGGAGTGTGTTTCCAAAGTGGCCCGCAAGATGATTTGGTTTGCCACACTGTTTTAAATACACGCACACATACTAGTACACACATATATATATACACAATGCCGTAAACACCATGGAAGAAACGTTATAAAATTTTTAAATAATTATCATAATTTCTTGTCTATAGTCTGAGGGCTACACGTTAAAAAAAATCTTTGGGATTGTAGGTCACATGTAATAGTTGATCTTTTTTCTCTATATAGTATGGCACATATTAATAAAACTAATGTTTCTAAGTTATAAGTATAACTTATAATAATAACATACGCATATATATATATATATATATATAAATTATTATAATAATTAATATTGAAACTAATATGTAAAATACGCTGCCTAGGCCACCCAATGGGAAGATTATTAAGAAAGATATTATTTTAAAAATAATAGGTAAAACTTAGTCATAATATTCTAATAAAAGTTTTCATCTCGCAATTAAATATAAAGATTATAAGTTAATTATAAAATATATCATTATGAGTTAATGATTTTAAATTTTTTTTTCTGTTAAGAATACGATAATTTAAATTTTACCGACATTTTCTTTTTAAATTTATTCTTGAATTTTTCAAATAGAAAATTTTCTTAATTTTTTTTTTTTTTTTTTTTTTACCAAAAATTCATTTTTTTCAAAATTTACTTACTTGGATATTTCTGTGAAATTCACCCTGAGTAAGACCTGCGCCTTCTAGATTGCAGAAGGATTCAGATTTTTGTGCGCTATATGAACAAATATTCCATCGAATGCATATTATGAATAAAATTAATTTAAAAAATGCAATTAAAAAAGAAAACAACAGATGGCTGTCAAAATAACATGCAAATCACAAGAATCCAACAGATGGCCCACATGATATTATATCTGTCCATGACCATGAATGTTATTAGATGCGAGGTAGGATCTGCAAATGACGAAAGTGATTTTGAACCAGTTCTCCACAAGAAAATCTGCATAATTGACCACGAAAGTTTTTGAAAAGTTAGTTTGAAATGCACATTTTGGAATCTACAGATTGGTTTGGCTTGTAGTTCTGAGGTCATTTTTTGCACACTTTAGGCTCATTAGACCTGGACCTACAGTTTAACGTGGATTCCGAACAACTCACAAACATCCATACCACCGCCAGGATTCAAATTTGAAGCACCAAAGGCCACGGCTCTAACCAATTGGCCATCAGACCGCTGGAATCTATAGAAACAAATAAAGCATTTAAGGCTCATTCCCACCGAGTCGTGAAGCGTTGATTAATCACTAGCCTCACTGCGTTCGCCTGAAACCGGTTGAAATCCACCGCTTCGAGTTGACCAACTTTCAAATCTCAAATGCTTGCGCGTCAAGGCTTGTTCCCACCGAGGCGTGAGGTGGCGACGCGACAAGCGGCAGGGAAGAAAATTTTTTCGACTCGTTCACACCGAAGTGTCAGAAATCGCTTTACGCCTAGTGAAATTCTAGTTACTTTTACTAGATGGCAGATCTACTATTGGCTCAATCCAAGTCACATGACGCGCAAGCATTTGAGAGTTGAAAGTTGGTCAACTTGAAGCGGTGGATTTCAACCGGTTTCAGGCGAACGCAGTGAGGCTAGTGATTAATCAACGCTTCACGCCTCGGTGTGAACGAACCTTTAAAAATATTCCGGTGTGTCCATTCAATTTTTCCTTCTTTTAGAAAGGGGATGTTTGGATTCACACATTTTCTATGTGGGTCTTTTTTACGAAGACCTACATAGAAAATGGTTCGCATTTACCAATAATTTAAAAAAAAAAATGTGTTACGAACATTATATTTTATAGCTACTTATGAAGTTTTAAGATAATTTTTTTATGCTGTCCCTATCCCCTGCACAAAAACAGGTGTGTTTGAAAGTGAATATCTGTTATTAAAATTTGACAGAAAAATTTGTTTATTTTTTTTTGACTTTATGTAAACACTCCTCATTAAAAAAAAAAAAAAAAAATGAGGTACATATGCCATCACAAGCACATATGACATCGATTTGCATACATACAGACCTACATCCATTATGCAGGCCCTGAACTCAAAGAATGAGGCTGTTCTAAAGTACAACTGAGTCATTTAGAGCAAAAAAGAAAACTGTTTGAAAACTGAAATTTTTTTATTAAGTAATGTTTTTAATAAAAATGTCAATAGATCTATGAATGAATTTATTTAAAACCTTTCAGTTTATTGCATGGATAAGATAATTTAAAACATAGAGTTCAAATGGCATGTCATTGCCTTCCAAATGTTATTATTATAATACTTATGAGTGTTATTTCATGGCAAGAAATTCAATTGAAAAGTTTTGAATGCGTGAATTCAGTATCCTAATAGCGCTACGGTCATTTTGTGTACACTTTGCGCTAATTAAACAGGGACCTATAGCTTTAAGTGGATTCCGAACCACTACTACTTCTACTATTACACCACACCACACCACATCACTGTGCCTAGAGCTGAGTTGCCCCTTTACAGTTTGGCAATGATGTGGGAGACAAGAAGTCTGATTGGGCTCCGTGACGCTCTAAGGGCATATGATACCCGGACCTACGGGTTAAAGTGGATTACGAACCACTACAAACATCCATGGAGGAGCTCTGGCGCTCGGTACCACAGGTTTTGGGTTCGTGTCCCGGTGGTGTCAGGAATGTTTGTAGTGGTTCAGAATCCACTTTAAACCGTTGGTCCCGATCTAATAGGATCGTAGAGCATTGTTGGGGTCGTGTTACTCGCATCTCTAGCCTATCTTCAAGCTACACGTGCACCCCTGGTTAGTGCTCAATGAGTAACAGCAGCTGCCCTTGGTTGTGGCATAAAAGATAACTGTCTTTATATTGGCAGGTGCATTAAAACAACAACAAACATCCATGACACACTGGTGAGATTCGAACCTGAAGCTGTGGTACCAAAGGAGAGAGCGCCAGCCAATTGGCCAGCAAGCCGCCTAATAGCTCGTGCTTTGGTTTGGTTTGTCGCTATACAGCCATCTTGTGAGGGCTAAACAGAGCGGGACCTACAGCTTAACGTGGATTCCAAACCACTCCCAAACATCCATGGCTTCACCAGGACACGAACCCGAAACCTGGGGTAACGAGCGCTAGCCACTCGGCCATCAGGCTCTTAAATAGCTCGCGGTGGAACATGAAACAGCTGTATATCGACTTCCCAAAAAATTCTTTTAGAAACAAATTGTTTTTGAAAGCTGAAGGTTATAAATAAATAGGCGCTCTGGCCTTTGACATCCCAGATTTCAGGTTTGAATCCGAATCGAATGTTTGTGAGTGGTTCGGAATCTACGTTAAACCGTAGGTCCCTGTCTATTTAGCCTAAAGTGTGCAAAAAATTACCGTAGCGCGACAAACCATAAATATAAATATTTTGGTTTGAATGGGGTCGATTATTTTAACGAGGATTCAATTATCTTATTAGCATAATCACCCGACTAAAATGTTGGCAGGGAACCCAATAAAACCGTGGCTGTTAGGGTTGGTGCCTTCAAAGGATGGATGCAACAACCGCATCGCTGCGGCAATACAGCATTCGCGTGCCCGCGGGGTGGGGGTGATTTATTGCCGGGATTTAGGGTTCCCATTCTTATTGGGAAGTCAATAGCCCCCTTTCAAGACGACCCATCCACGCGCGAGGGGGGGAGTTCCACTTCGATATGGGGGTCGGGCATTTTCTCCGAGTGCACTGGCAACTGGCGTACCGATTACGGAATACCAGGGCCGGATTT